TGCGCCTTACCCGTAGTCCACCCCTTCGATTCCCAGTACTGCACACTGTCTTCCATCTTCTTGTACGCCCATGAGAATGAGGGATCTATACCATATCAATGTCTATATTAGCCATTATCCCACACCAATACCACATCCCACGTGCAAGCAGCAGAACACACAAGGGGAGAAAAGAAAAGGGCAGGGAAAGGAAACATACACAAGAACTGCCTCAAATCATGCCTATTATCCTCCGGCGAATACTGTTCAGCATGATAACTAGGCGTCAACACCGTCATCTTGTGGCGATTAATCGAATAGTTGTAGAAGAAATGGCGCGTCTTTTCGTAGATCTCGCGGGGGCTGTATTCGTTCCCCCACATGTGGAGTAGGCGCTCGTACATGGACCAGGGTCCAAGCTTGGCCACTTTACGGAGATATCCGAAGACCGAAAGCTCGGCGTATGTAACTCCCATGTCGGCTTCGTCGGATTGCACGTAGGTGGCGGTGATGGGCTCGAGTTCGGCGGTGGGAGTCGCGGTGAGGAAATCGTCGAGGATGGGAAGGTCGAAGGAGTCGCGGGCCCAGGCAATGAATTTCTTCAGGTCGACTTTACTTATGGAGCCGATGGGGTTGAGCTGTGATTGTTAGTGGTGTCTAGCACTTTCTTGCGGAGGCATGTGGACGTACATCGGCACTGCTGGCGTCGTATTTGGTCAAGTAGCCGCGGAGACTGTTTACGTTAGTTTCTTGTTCGGTTTAAGGGGGTTATTGTTGTGTTATATTGGGCTTGGGGCATAAACACACCATTCTGCGCTCTGTTAGAATCTCGATTCAGACGAATTATGGGGTTGCAAACGTACCATCAACATTGGACGAGCCCAGAACAAGCAGCCCTCCACCGCCAGGGCGCTGACGGACCGTCGGTAGCAGCGATGCGAACAGATATGAGAGTACCATCCGCAATCTGGCTTGGATGTTCTGCAACGCTTGGTTCTCTGCTCGGGTACCGCCGTGGACCTTGAACTTAGGCTGAAAGTTTGTGACGATAGTAAACACGTTCATCATAGCAGTGATGACGGTATCAAAGTTGAAGTCGGTGTGGTAAGCACCGATCTCCGCGGCGAGCACCTTGGCCCGGTCCCTTGTTTCCTTGCTGGAGTTCTGGGTGCCCATGTAGCTCGTGTGGAAGATGCGGCTGGTGGAGTAGGTTAGGACATGATAGTTCGGCATCTAGCAGTGAGACTTACTTGCAAACCTCCTGGCTCGTAGTGGGAAGCCAGGTGGAGTCTGCTGGCTCGGCGCAAAGCCTGCGGACATCCTTGATGACCTGCTCGTTTCCTTCTTGGACAGCTTTGACGACTTCTCTGCACATCGAGTGAACAATGATAGAAGTAGCGCAACTGTCAATACCACCACTAAGCGGGATAAAGTATCCGGCAGCACCGCTCCGGCGCAGATAGTCCCACAGCCAGCAAGCCGGACCAAGAGCGATCTCTTCCTCTGGGACATGGTAGCGGGGTTTGAGAGTTTCAGAGGGAGCATAGCCGGGATCGGCTTCCTCATCCCGACGGGACAATCTCGTGTCCAGGTCGAGGCGGACATAAGGCGATTGCATGCTGGCCTGCATGCCTCGACTCGCACTAGAGCGGTAGGTCCGGACCTCTTCAATATCAACAGTAGCCGTAACGACCTCAACATCGTTCAGGGAGAATTGTGAACCCTGAGCCACAATGTTGCCATTGACCACGATCATTGCGCAACCATCGTAGTACAGTCGATCACCGTCGCAGCCTTGCTGATTCGCATAGAGATAGATGCCACCACTCTAGAGAAGAGTTAGAATTGACACCTCGTATGTATTTGGCAGCCTCACCAATTTCGTGGCCTGGGTAATAAGGTTGATACGGGTATCGAGCTTCCTCAATTCGTGGTGACTTCCGGAGGAGTTGGAGAAGATTTCGACACCTTTCGATAGGTTAGATAAAGTGCAGTTAGGTGAAATTGACAGACGTACCAGCAAGGCCATACGGGATGTGAGGGCTGTGCACGTATTAGCCGTCTCCCCTTAAGCGCAGGACTGTATAGGTCATACCCGTTAGGAGTGAAGAGCTCCTCGCAAGTTTCAAGACCCAAGCACGTATCTCTAGTACTGATGAGTGCATCACCAAAAGGCACCTTGTATTGTCCCGTGATCTTTCCGACAATCTGCTCCAAGTAGTAGTCCTCGACTTCGCGCGGCCGCTGCCAGGGTGTGAAGTGTCTCATTTCCCTGTAATTGCCATCTTTAGAAGAAGCAAACGTCAGTCATTGATCCAGTCACGTCCATAGAAAAATACGCACCATTGGCAAGCCACATCTTAGGACGAATGAGGATGATCTTGCGGTTGTAGAAGATCACGCTAGAAGAATGCTTAGTTCGAGCAGAAGTAATAGCGGTACCGTACTCACGACTTACCGGCAGTTCCACTTGCAGTCCCTATGGCGAACAGGCATGCCGACATCAACAACGATATCCTGGCAGTCGGGGTGATCGATGATGCGGGCAAACATCTCCCACGAGTGGAGGTATGTATCACCCTCGAGGAAAGCATCGAGACAGCCATATCCTGAGCGATATCAGCAATTGCCCATAGCGATACAACTAAGCGTAAATACCAGTAATCTCGAGCTCAGGACCAACTCGTAGTGTGGCTCCAGCTGCCTTGGCTTTCCGAATACTTTCGATAATGCGCTCGCAGTTACCCTCGAAGTCGAGGGCCCACTGGTTGAGGGAGCTGAGAGGAAATTGTCAGTGGAAACATACACCGATATACCCGTAACCAAGCACCCACCATGTTGCAAGAGTGACAAGATGACCCATGGTGAGCGACTGCGTCCCTGCTGATGCCGTGGGGAAAGATAACAAATGAAGCCATCCACGAATCAGTTGGAGAAAGCGTGACTCGCCATGACGCACGTCACGTGTGTGGGGAGCTCCCCTCGTGCCCCTCAATCGTCACAGTAATACCGTATCGGAGCAATTGCCGGGTGAGCGGTACCTGCGCAGATGGTACCGAGATTACCCGCCTCGGCATCTGAGGGGTGCTGATTAATCGCTGGTTATCGGAGCCATGAGGAGGCCCAATTCTGCATCATCGCCTTGCTTTTTTTTCTCCTGAACTCTCCCCGGTGGATATACAGCATTGTAATCACTCATATCCTATTCCTATCCCTCTAATCCTTCTCCCTACACTTCATTCACTCCACAATCGCCGTATTCTTTAGTGCATGATGAGCAACGATTCCCAGCTCCCCAACCCCCCGCATATACAAGCCGACTCCATGCTGGCCCGGCGGTTCGGAAAGGAGACTGTGAACTATTTCTCCAGTATGTCCTAAACCTCCCCTGAATTCCCTTTAGGACCAGCTACTCACCCAATGCCCAGGCTCCCCATTGAACCGTCTGTCATTCCTCCGCGGAGACCATGCCTTCCTCTCCGCCGCACTCAAGCACCCCTCCACGCGCTTCGTCCTCATGAAGGACCTCGCGCCACTGACCAAATCCCCCGCGGAGCCCTACTACGCCAAATACGACGAGATCCGCAAAATGGTCCCCGAGACCATCTACGACAAGTCCGAAGAGGACATCATCAAGGAGTACGACTCACGCAAAACCACCGCATCCCCAATCTTCCTCGGTCTGGACGAGACCCAAAAACAGGACGGTCTCGTCTGGAAGATCTACACCGGAACGCCCTACTTCGCATTGGACGTGACCCCTCGCCACTCCGAAGAACAGCAAGCCAACTCCAGAGCCGTGATCGCCGACATGGAAGCCAAGGGTCTGGCCTTCCTCCAGGGCAGAACCATCATGTCATTCCCCGCCAGTGAAGGTACGTACCTAACCCTACCACTCATACACAACAACAACCATCACTAACAGACACCCCCACCCCTGCACAGCCGCCATCTACGCGCAAGCCCGCGCCCTAATAGACTGGAACACGCGCAACACCTTCTGCGGCACCTGCGGCCACCCCACGATCTCCGTAAACAGCGGGACCAAACGCGCCTGTCCACCCAGCGACGCCGCCCTCGTCGAGCAAGGAAAACCCGCCACCCGACCCCCCTGCAACACTCGCACCACGATATCGAACCTCTCCTTCCCTCGCACCGACCCCACCATCATCGTGGCCGTCGTCTCCGCCGACGCTAAACGCATCCTGCTCGGCCGCTCGAAGCGCTTCCCTCCCAACTGGTACTCCACCCTAGCGGGCTTCATCGAGCCCGCCGAGTCCGTCGAGGACGCTGTCCGTCGTGAAGTCTGGGAAGAAGCCGGTGTGACGTTGTCGCGCGTCGTGATCCACTCGTCGCAGCCGTGGCCGTACCCGGCGAACTTGATGATCGGGGCTATTGCGCAGGTGAGTGATCCTGCGCATGAGAAGATTAACCTCGAGCATGATCCCGAGCTCGAGGATGCGAGGTGGTTTGAGTTTGCCGAGGTCGAGGAGGCGCTGAGGACGGGCACGAGTGTTCTAGGGTCTGGGCCGGGGCCTGAGTATAAGGAGGGGGCGTTGAGGTTGCCCCCGGCTACGGCTATTGCGAATCAGCTTATTCGGGCGGCGATTAATCTGGAGTTTTTGGGTGGGGAGAATGGGCCGAAGATGTGAGGGGGGCCTAGATGATAGAATCCTAGAAGTTGGGCGTGGAGTAGAGGTGTGGGGTTGGGGATAGCGTTCTTGGTGGGTTGGTGTTTTGTTCTTTGCTTTATTGTTATCATTTGTATGGGTTATGAAGACACGGACGGTATGCTTGTATAGACGTGTAGAGCAAGCATCTTGCGGGTAAGATGCAAGGATGCTTTGAATAGAGACGTTTGCTCTAACTATACTCTTGCGAAAGTTACCATGATTGCTAGAAACATTCCCACACATGCCACGAAACATCAATCCAAACACCCATAGATACACTCATAAATCATCTAGATCTACTACACTGCAAGCACAACTCCAAGCCCTATACACACCCGCTGATAAAAATCAGAAGTTCGCATACACCGTCCCATCCCTCAACTCATGTATATCTTCCTTACTGCTCGGCGACCCAACCTCGGCATATCTCCTTCCATCGCGCAACTCATGGATGGTAATCCGACGATGGGATTTCCGCCTCCGGGAGCCGGAGCCGGAGCCCCGACTCGACGAGAACGAGGAGTCCGCGCGTCCATCAACGTTGTTCACGCTGCCCGAATCGCTGAATCCGCCGGTACTGTAGGGGGTGGCCTCGCGACTTTCCTGCTCAATCGAGGCCTGTAATTGGTAATCGGCTACCATGGCCATGCCGTCTTCGTGATACCATTGGCGCAAGTCCGTGGCGTAGGTTTGCTCCTCCGCGCCGTACTCAACGGGTGGGCCGTCGATTTGGGCTTCGTTGGGGCCGTTGAAGACGGCCCAGGCGCTGCTGTCGACGCTGGACAAGGTGATGGAGTGTTTGAAGCTCTTGACCTTAAAGTTGCGGAGGAGGATGGCGTCGCCTTCTTCTAGGGTTGGCAGGGCGGTTTTGTAGGGTCGGAAGATCTGGGCGTACAGGATTGTGCCGGCGAGGGATGGGTCGGTCACACCGAAGGTCAGGATGTAGTCCTTTCTGCCCGTAGTTGAGCGGATCGCGGGTCGAGTTTCGGATACGATTGAGATGGTGTCTGTCAGTGCGTTGTAGTGGTCGATGAGGGTGGCGAGGGGCGCGAAGTAGGAGTATTTGCTGCGCAGGCCCGGGTAGTTGCGGTTGAGGTTGAGAAGGTGTTTGCGGTCATGGCCGACGAGTAGGACTTCGTCTTCGCTATGAGTTGTGTGGGCTCCCTTGTCGTCATCCGAAATTGCCCGTTCTTCGGGTGCGGTAGAGATCGATTCAGCTTCAGACTGGGCGTCTTCGTCTTGCGGGAGGGTTTCTGTCACCACCGTCGCTGTCGTTTCTGTAACTACCTCAACGGTGGGCTGTGGTTCGTCTTCCACCTGGAAATCTGACCTTTCCTGGGTAGGCTCAGGGGTTGGCAGGGCTGCATCCACCGGTAAGACAGGGACAGAAGGAATGTCCACTCCATTAATTTGAGATGACTCTGGAGTCACCAGCTGGTTCTGTGGGAGAATTGGCATCTTGGGAACATGGGCAGCCGAGTCAGGAAGGCCCAAGCTTTGAGAAGCACCATCTAGCGACAGGCTAGGGTCAATGTGCTGGGCTTGTTCTGGCACGCCTGCATCCTCACCATCCTGTATCTGCTCGTGGGAGGTATGTGCCTCCTGTTGTTCACTACTAATTTCTGTCGGAAAAGTGCCCGCGTCGAAAAGCTCGGGATCGATCGGGGGTTCGGGATACTGTAGAACGGTTTCAGTACCGGCCCCATCTTGTTGAGCGATATGGATGGTGTCTTGAGCATATGCGATCTCCCCGGGATGTGCCTCGTGTGATATGACTTCTGTTATCCCTAATTCCTCATGTTCGGCGTGGTAACCAGGGTGTCCGTCGATATCGATGCTTTGCTCGGCGCCATCGGATGGAGCCCTAAGGACAGCACCCTCTGTGGATTCTTCATGACCTTCTGCAAGATGAACTGGTTCTTCTGTTGCCTCATCTTCTATGTGCACCACCTCTGGTTCTTTAGCACCAGCTGGCTCCTCAAGACGTTCCTGTTCTACGTCTTCTCTATGAGGATCCACGTAGTGAGCCTTCTCGTCACCGACTGTTTCGTCACGGGATTGTTCATCGTTATTCTGATCATCATCGGTTTGTAGGTCGTGCATCTCTTCATCCTGGACCGATTCGGCTTCCATGGCCTTGACATCAGCATCTTCAGTGTCCCGCTGCCCGTCATCCATATCCACATCTCCTTCGCTCTCGTGTCCGTAATGTACCTGCTCTACGCCGATGGCCTCGTCATCACTGTGCGGCTCCATTGTTGGTTTATGAGCCACCTGCACTTCGTCGGAATGTAATCCTTCACTCCCCTCGATTTCGCGGCCCTGGCGAATCAAGTCGACCTCTACCGGCTCCACCTCTCGCTCTTGGGCTTCTTGGTTGTCTCGCACAAACCATTCGCCACCCTCTTCGACGTCTTCATCACTATAGTCCTCCCCCTCCGCGTCATCAACCTCCTCACTCTCATATTCTTCGTATTCGCCAGGCTCCGATGTCCCATAGCTGGATGCTTCATCCGCAGATGGGGATACGTCGGGTTCCCGAGTATATGTGGCTGCCGGTGCTGCAGCGGGCTGCCTTGGTACGCTCGGCGAAGGCTCCTCGTCGCTATCGCTATCGAGCACAATAACCTCTGGTTCGGCCTTCTTGATGGGATGAGGCGATTCAGCCTCCAGTTCATCTTCCTGTGACTCAAGTTCAGAATCAACACGATCGTCATATCCGTCCTCATCATAATCATCCTCCAACTCTTCAGATTCAGGCTCCTCATCAGAAATGTCCTCCTCCTCATCGAGTTCTTCTTCCTCGTCATCTTCGGGGTGATATCCATATTCTCTCCTGACGGTATCATGAGATTTCTCCGGTGATTCTGCTTCACTTTCGGAAATAATTTCGATGTCATGTCTTGCTCTGGCGTCGGGCTGCTCGTCTTCTTCCGAAACGTATTCTTCGCTCAAGGCCTCTGAGCGAGCGTCCTCGATGATTGAGCTTTGACTAGCGCTCTCGTATTCGTGGTCTTCGCCTTCTAGGTCGTGCTGTGCCCTTTCCACCACACTGTGGTAAATTCCTTTCTCCTCCACAGCCATACTGGAATCCGCCCGTGCTTCAAATTGCCCAAGTGCTTCGAGCCGTTCCTCGTCCTCTTCCACCTTGGCCCGTTCTTCTTCGTGTGGCATTGCTCCTTCAGTATCTCCACCTTCAATACCGAAAGTAAAGGCAGTATGCGGAGTGGCTGTTTGAAGAACAGACAAAGACGACGTAGTATCTTGAGCATGCATAGCCTCTAAACCTTGAGCCCCTGCGTTGACCATTCCGTGTAAGGAAACAGCATGGTCAACTTCCGACTCAGAGCCCACTTCGCGCATCTGTGAAACTGGTTCGGACAAAGTAGTAGCTTCCTCGTTGACCATTGTTGTCACATGCTCATCAGAGTTCCTGATAATAGTCTCTGGTGGCATCTCCGATATAGCCTCAAGCGCCAAATCGGCGGCATTTTGGCTGACAGTTGTTGGTGGAGTAGACTGAGTTTGGCCGGTAGTTGACACGGCTCCGAAATACCCAAAAGGGCTGTTTGAAGTGCTAACCAAGGGTGAAGGAACAGGCAGGCCGGGAGAGGGGATAGGGTGAAGGCGCGGAGTATCTATTGGCAGATGACCAGCGAAGTTGGGTATGCCGTGCCTTCGCGGGCTTGGAGCCTCGGTCCTCGATACAATGCCAGGCACAAGAAATTCCGCATCGGATCTTGATTCGTTCAACTTCTTCTCTGTAGTGGACTCAGGTGTCACTTGCTCGGACTCAGTGGCGGTACCTTCAGCTTGCGCGCCATCGGGCGGCCCCTCCGATACTGGTTCAACGTCGCGAGTTTCAGATGGCTCTGGGGACTGTTTGGTATCCTCCGCATCATCCTCGCCAATCTCAGCTTTCAGCCATTCCTCGTCGTCAAACATAGCCGTCCAATCTCCCGGAATGTCGATGTCTTCGGGGCTCGCAGGTTCATCGACGAGACGCCAATCACTGCCGCGCATGCTAAACCTTGGTCGCTTCCTTCCTTTCCCCGGCACGAAGCCATCTTCTTCTGCGAATGGGTCGAATATGGAGCTCGAAAGGTGGCCCAGCGATGTGCGCGATCGCTCGACAAAAGCCGGTGACTGCCATGCCTGTAGACTAGCGTTGTGACTCGTCCCATCTGGGCGAGGGTATCCGTTGGCAGGAGGGGTGGATGGTGCCTCTTCAATCGCATTGTCGATAGTGGGCGGCGGAGATGATGGGCGGTCTACTTGCACAGTGGAGAGATGTTGAGAAGAACGCCAGATCTAACACTGGTAAGCACTGGACTGTAACTGATCACTACTAGCTGAGTCCGAAAAAGTACCTCAATGGAAACGCCATCATCATAGTTAATGTCCCACGCGATGCATCTTCCTGGCGTCTGATTAGACACCCCATTGTCCACAAATCTCGATCCCGCCAGCCTAATATAGACAGTATCGCCAATTCCGACGTGCGACTTGGCTACTTCTTCCGCGACCAGCCCATGGAAGACCACCTTGACCTGTCCATTCGTGCGTCGAAGGCGAAAGTCCGGCTCCGCCAGCAGGAGGCTGAGAGAACGAGTTGATGATGAATAGGGCCATAGCAAGGTCACCACGGCGTGGATAGAGCTGTCCGAAAGATTCTCGAGCTCCGGGGCGAGCTTCGCGATAGGGATCGGGGTCGTCGACCGTAGAGGTTCGGAGACCGGAGGTTGCTGTTCGTGAGCGTCCATCGCTGCAGGCGCTTAATGAACAAGTAATATCCGCATTTCCAGTCCTTTATTATAGGCCTTGCATGTTCCGGGCGGGATGGCGTCTGCACGAAGCAACAGTATTGTTGTTGTTGTTGGCCGATCGGATATTAGAGGACGCGCGGGAGAATTGAAGATGGAAAGATGCGGAGGTGAGCCCAGATTCCCCCCGTATGGGTGCGTAATATTACCTGTGCTTTTCTCCGCGGAGTTCGATGTTTAGCGGGTAATCTACGTCATGGTCGGTACGCCATTTATCTCGTTGGGCATCTCCGCCCATTTACGATCGCACAAGATTTTAAGAGTAGAGATCCTAATTTTAAGCTCTGATATGGTGTAGATAGTTACTATTTTCCTGATCGGTATAATCCGCAGCCAGGGAAATGCCGAAGAGCACGGCATCCATCGCGAGAGTGATGCAATCGTCATCTGCTGGCTAATTACTAGGGATGAGCTTATCGGCTCGCCTCCGATAGCCCCTCGGACTCAAGGACGAGACATACTAATCATCCTTCCAACTCTCACTGTCTGCTCGGAGCTTGCCTCAGTAATGGCACTTTCAACCCCAATCCGTCGTATAGCTGTCATCGGAGCTGGACCGTCGGGTCTTGCTGCGGTCAAGTAGGGAAGCACCTGAGTGTATCATAGTCTCAAGTCACTAACGAGCCCCGCAGGTACCTTCTTGCTGAGAAATGCTTCGAGCGGGTTGATGTCTTCGAGAAAAGAAGCTCTGCAGGCGGAGTCTGGAACTACTGTCCGGGGACCCTGAAGGAGAAACTGACCACTCCGGTGCCACAACTGGATCCGAACAAACCGCTCGAAGAGCCATTATGGTACCCGACTGGAGGCAACGACCGGTCTAAAGAGCCAGTCTTTGTGTCCCCGCTGTATAAGACACTGGACACTAACATCCCCAAAGAGATGATGGGATTTAGTGACAAATCTTTTGAGCCGGACTCACAGGTGTTTCCGAAGCACTCGGCCGTAAAGAAATATCTGGATGAGTATGCCGAAGACATGAAAAATGTCATACAGTTCGAGACGCAGGTGGTGGATGTGCGGAAGACGGAAGGCGCTCTACATGCTTGGTCTCTCACAACCAAGAACCTCCGTGAAGGGGTCGAGAAAACGCACTCATACGATGCTGTGGTGGTTGCTAGTGGCCACTTCGACGTCCCATATACCCCTGATATTCCTGGAATCCAAACCTGGAATACGGCATATCCAGAGGTGATCTCTCATTCGAGGCTCTTCGATTCGGCAGAGCCATTTCGAGACAAGAAGGTCATTGTGGTAGGAACTTCGGCATCTGGATTAGATATTGGCAATCAAATCAACGCAGTGTCCAAGGGAAAACTGCTGGTATCTCAACGAACAGAGACCCCTCTGGCATCTACTGCTTCGGATAAAATCTATCTTCCACAAATAGTGGAGTTCCTACCGCCTCATGCACACAACAGAGCGGTCCGCTTTGCAAACGGTCACATTGAGCAAGACATTGATGCCATCGTCTTCTGCACTGGCTATCTCTACTCCTTCCCTTTCCTCTCTTCATTGAACCCACCTCTGATCACCGATGGCCGTCGCACTCTGAATGTATACCAGCATCTGTTTTACATTTATGACACAACTCTGGTCTTAGCTGCACTTCCACAGAGGGTAATTCCTCTCCCACTATCCGAGAACCAAGCGGCGGTGTTCGCCCGCGTTTGGTCAGGAAGGCTCAGCCTTCCATCACAGGAGGAAATGAAAGCTTGGGAGGAAGCAAACATTGCCCAAAAGGGCAACGGGACGTCATTTCATTTGCTACCTTTTCCGCAGGATGCGGACTACCACAACTTCTTGCATGACTGGGCGGCGACGGCGCCACCCCGGCAAGGCCTTGACAATAATGGTGCTGGGAAGCTGTGTAGTTATTGTGGTGAGAGGCAAAGGTGGATACGGCAAAGAATGTCTGAGATCAAGCGGGTATTCGCAGAGAAGGGTGAGGAGCGAAGCTCTATCAAGAGCCTAGAGCAACTTGGCTTCGACTATGATAAGTGGAAGGAGCAGGAGGGATCTCGAGACGCTCGATTGTGATAGAGTATACAATCATATGATAGATACGAGTCTGCATAAATAGACGTCAAAGAAATTAATAGACAGTTTCTCTAACTCTTATCTATCGCAGCTAAATGCATACTCTATGATCTAAATATGCAAAAGCACCCTAAAGCAAAGCACCACCCTAAACACCCACCATCATCGTCTCCTCATCCCACCACTTCTTAAAAATGGTCAACCTCTCCGTACGATCCCTAGCCATCTGCCTCCCAGTAGCAGTCTACAACCCACATTAGCACATACGCACATAAACGAATAACCACATGCTTCCAAAAAGACTTACCTTCATCATCCCCTCCAACTTCTCCAACTTATCATCAATATGCTCTCTCGAATTTTGCATACTAGCACCCGCCAACTTAGCTCCCGTAAAGGTAAACGTCCTACCGATCCCAATGGCTCCAATGGCATCAATACGATCCGCATCCTGCACGATAGCAAGTTCAGGATGTTGCTGTATAACAGACAGCACCTTCCTTAGGTCCTTGATCTCAGAAGAGTAAGAAACGTGATTGACCACCTCTTCTACCCTAGCTGCTAGGGCTGCTGAGGCTCCGGCCTGCTGCAAAACCAGAGTCACTTTGGAGGTCTGCTGCTGACCTTCGATGACTGGTGGGGCGTACTTCTTGTCGTTCACGTCGTGGAGAAGGCTTTTGTTGTTTTGTTAGAACTGATTGAATGTGGAATGGTAGTAATATAATTTGTAGTGGGCTGGCTACGATAGTGGTTTTTTAATTACTTACGCGCTGAGGAGGACCACGGTAGGGTCATAGGTCTTCGTAGTGTTGTATTCTGCGGATAGAATGCGCTGGGATAGTGCCAGGACCCGAAGAATGTGGTTAAAATCATGCGATGCATCGTAGTTGCTCATGTGGTCTTGTACTGCTTCGGCGACGGAGAGGAATAGGTCGTCCCCGGCTGGGAGGAGATTTCCGTAGGGTGCTGCACGCGCTGATGCGAGGATTTTGTGTACTGACTCCATTGGTCCTGGTTATGCTTTTCCACGAGGGATAGGAATAGAGGATTGGACTGGTGTTGCTGGTGATGAGGTAGCCAATGGGGCAAGTAAAAGTGATGGATAGGGTTTCTTTGGGAGGAGGAATTTAGTTGGTAGAGAGAAATGGCTGCAAAAGCTTCCCCACATTCCTGATAAGTGCCCGGGAAGCAGTTATGCTGGCTTAACCCTCCCGCTTTTCCCTACTGCAGCTTTGGTAGCTTCTCCGGGGCGCTTTCACCGACACAATTGCATAAAGAATTGAGCATGTAATGATTCATTCATGCAGTTGAGCCCAATGCATATGTCCCATAGTTTAACCTATAAATCTCACTTCCACTCGCAATATGAGAAGCCCGAAGGCGAGTGATGTAGATGACATACCCCATAGTGATGAAGCCATCTTTTCCACAGTCTCCTGGACTAGAAAATGAAACACTGATCAGTTTGGTATCTACTAAACACTCACTCTTATGTATTTCTGTAACAATTGGAACAAAGAGGGATATTACCGCGGTGTTACCCGAGGCTATGGGTGTTTATAGTCAATATCGAAAGTGAACAATGGAGACACCCTCAAACAGATCAGACTCACTGATTCTCAGCTCATTCGTAGCCCGATATTCAACATAGCTGATGAATTAGTGGCAAGTTCAATGAGTGTAAGTCAACTGACATTCGTATTGGCCTCTGGATGGCTTCGTTCCTCGGGTTTAGGGCTGCCGACTGTAGAAACAACCACTGAGTTGAGACGGCGGCTCCCACCAGAAACGGTCACAGATTACTGAGTACATTCATTTTGTGCTACATGTAAGCTACAGCTACAAACCATCTTCTCGAGATAAAGCTCTCTGCGCATGCAAGAACCGGCCCATCCGCTGGTCGAGTCCAGAATGCAGACCGATGCATGGGAATCCTTTCCGTCTTCGCTTCGGGGAACTACGGAATTGCAGTAACATTGAAACCAACCTCCTTCCTCCATTGATCTTGTTAACAAAGACTTACTTCACTCCAGTGTTACCAGGTGAAATATACTGTTATTCCCATTGAGAAGTTCCCGAAGCTGAATTCCTTCTTTACCTCCGTAGGCCCGGCCGATAAGCAGCCATCACGTGCCGGTCGATCACCCGCGTTGGTTCCGTCGACTTCATCACCAGCTGGACTGTTCCTCAATCCATCTTATGATCCACTTCCTCCAAACACCCCTCATCCTTGCCCCCCTTTCGAGGATTCGCCCTTTTCCTGGACTATAGCTGCATTTCCAAACACTGCGACCTCAGCAAGCTCTTCTACCTTCGCTATTCCACCTTTCGTTCAACATCCCATCGCTTTAGCTCCAATACTCTACCATGGATTGTTACACCTCGGCCACGCTCTCTGCTTGCGTATAATGTCGCGCAAGCGCAAGTCTACTTCTACGATATATACAAGCCACACAAGCCACAAACGAAAGAAACGCTGGAGAACCCAGCACGTCGTTCATTCTAGCGACAACGAGGCAGACACCGATAGCGAAGCTCTGAGTGCAGACGAGTGGCTTATCAACTGTATACTTGACGAGACCGAATCGCAATACTTGATTGACTGGGAAGGACCTTGGACGCCTACTTGGGTGAGCTTAGTGATCTATCCGCTACTTTCTGCCATTCCTTGCTTCATTGGAGGCTTGTTGGAAGTACTGGGAGCTTCACTGTTCTAACTGCCTGCCGTGCAATACCAGGAACCGAAGGAAAACGCCAACAACGTTGCCGTGCAGGTCTGGGAGGACAAAAAGCGAAGAGATCAGGCCCAGGAGGAATTTGTTCGAAGTAACACTCCACCACTACCATCACCATCACCGCCACCCGTCTCCAGTGTTCAAGAACACAGTAGAGACTCTTTAAGCCCAAGACCCAGTCAGCCCCAGACTGAAGCCCCGACTGACGAATCCCGGTCTAGACAGTCCTCGACCCCCCCTCTCTTTGTTTCGCCTAGCACCGTACCTGAAACTACCCTGTGTCTGGATGACTAAGCCAGCGGATTACTGAGTAGTTCCGGTGTTGATACAGAAGTGCCCAGACATACGTCACAATCGGTTACTGACAGCCCACTTGACCCGGAAGTGGTGCCCACTGCCAGTGTTACTGAAGTCGCTGCTATCATCTCGACTCCCCGCCAACCCATAGTTTCGGACGAAGTCGAAGAGACGCCGACCACACCTTACCGCCCAGGAAATACCGACACACCGAACGTCACTGAAGGGATCCCGGAAACACCGCATAACGAATCTTCTGCTGCGCCGTCGACTTCAAACTTACCCGCGCTATTGCCAGCCAACCCGGCAGAAGAAGCTGATGAAATACCTGAAACCCCGTCTGATCCAGTCGATGAACCCCAGCTATTCAGACGTGCGAGTACAGTACCCGAGTCAATTGCTGTAAACGGTCCGCAAACCCCAGCGAGTCAACCTTCTGCTTCAAGCTTTCGTTCATTACTGAACCAACTTTTCCATTCAAAATCGAGAAACAGCATGGATAGTCAAGAGAAGGAAGGGCCGTCGTTGTCCGATACCATGGAGAAATACAGCCAGTTTGAAGGGTCCACCCCGAGGGAAAAGCTCAGAAATGCATATGCACAACTACGCGCAAAAGCCAACCCTGGCCCTGAAAGTGCGACGCCATCATCTGCCGGAGACATAGAGCCTTCTGTCCCTGTTCCTGTACCCGAGACGACAGCTCCCCTTAGCGTTAGGGTCGATAAGGAACCAACACATCCTAAAGATGTTGAAGTGGATCATGATACTACAATCCCCCCTGTCGAACCTTTGGAGATGGGACCTCCTCAGACCATTCAGCCTAGTGCATTATCAATGCACTTCGCAGAGGAGCCAATACCTGGTTCAGTCCATCTTGGGCCGTCGGAGTTTGCTGTGCCTCTTCCAATGGATTCCAGGGTCAAGGATGACTATGAGCGGGTCTTGACGAGCGAAAGCCAGAGTATTCGCGATTTCCTCGGCGATTATCAGGTTCGATGTCCACCCTCCGTCACTTTGCTGTATACTGACTAGCAAGCAGCGTGATCTTCTTGTACCGAAGATGCATGAAATACTAAACCGTCTGAGCAATATTTCCACGCACCCAGATCTGAACATCGCGGAACATATCAACGACTCTGAGTCGGACCTAGGGAGGGAGGCCGCTTGGGCTGAGTACTCAAGCGCAAAGTTTTTGCTTTTAAGCTACCTTTTGGAGGCAGCCAGCATGCGTGATTTACATTTGGTTATCATGGTGCAAGGAGAAAAGACTCAGCGGGTGGTTGAACGTTATCTGATGGGCAAGGGCCTGTCGTATACTCGTCCACGCCAGGAAATGGGATCGGGCACGAATATTGAGGTTTCCATGGTCAAGGATTCCTTGAGTTTTGGGATTCAAACCACGCGTAATGACGGGGTTATGGAGACATATAAAGCCCCTGCTGCTATCATCGCCTTAGATAAGTCTTTCAGCAGCCAGACACCCACGGTGGAACACATGCGAACCACATTCGCTCGCAATGGAAATCTGCTTCCGGTGGTTCGTCTGTTAGTGTCAAACTCCAGTGAACATATCGAACTATGTTTCTCTGGCCTGCCGGAACCGGAACGTCTTAAGACTCTCCTGCAATACTCCATACGTCTCCGTGACGTGGTTGGTGACCTTCAGGATGATGCTCTTGGGGTGCAGGAGGATGCAGAAGAGCTTCTCACTTGCCTTGTCTCGGATAACTTTAACGCTCATTGGTCTCTACCTCACATTGAACCTTTGCACATTCTGAGCCCTGAGCAGCTTGAGACGTCGCAACAAGAACTGCAAAGTCGACCTGGTGTCGACATTCAACTGACGACTTCTCAAGCCCATAAACGAGCATTCGTAAGTCGATCAGAATGTCAAATTGTCCTGATGTGTCGCACTAACATCGAGATAGGAGGAAGAAGATGAGGTCGAACAGTCAGCCAAGAGAACGAAGACGGAAGAGCCGACGCAAGAACCAACCCAGTCCACTGAATCGACTGGATTCCCTAGTCAACCATTAAACGGTGGACTCCAAACGCTAGAGAAGAATATTGTTCAGATGCAGAACTCACATGCAGCAGAGCTCGAAAAGCTCCAAAAAGCTCTCGCAGGAGCCCAAGCCCGTCTTCAAGAAAGAGAGAACGTGCTGGAAAAGCTGCAGCACCGTTACGAAACACGGACCAGAGACTTCCACAAACTCCGACGGGAGCATGACCGTCTCACCCAAGCTAAGGCCACATCCGACCAGCGAGTTGAAAAGCAGAAAGAAGAGCTCATGAAATTGAAGGACGAACGAACCCAGCTCCGACACGAACTCGAAGAGGCCCGCGAGTCCCTCAAAGCAGGCGGGGGCAGCGCAACCGAACTCGAATCAGCAAGGGAAGACATCCGGCGTCTGACTAAAGATAACGCCTCGCTAGAACGCAAAGCCGAATACGAAGCCCGACAAGCAGAATACACGCGCGAACAATACCAGACCGCCTCGACCGTGGCTGCACAATCAGGCAACGAGCTTCGCCAATTGCGCAGCGAGAACGAGACCCTGAAACGGAAGGTCGAGGGAGACGCAGCCCATCTGCGCGAACTCAACACGAAGAACGACGAAGCCCGCCATCTCGCACGGGTCCTCGAACTCGAAGCAACCCTCACATCCCGGGAAGATCTGCTCCGCCGGAAGGAAGAAGAACTTCGGGAAATCCGGAAGAATCGTCCGTCGACTCGCTCGACCAGCACGCAGCCGCGAAGCCCCAAATGGACTGCAGGTAATAGCCGGCCCACGAGCCCTGGCATCAACAATGGTTCATCGCTTGCAGGTCGCGGTAGTGCGCTCAGATTCAGTTCCGAAATGCCCCTTTAGTCGACTCATCGATACCACCCTACCCTACGAACTTCTTCCTTCCAGCTCGACCGATCCGTCACTCCTATCATCAGCCACCACCCACCACCACCCTACCAACCCACCCCGCCAAACGCCACTTATCAATCAACGTTCGGCCTCCCTCGTATTCGCCCCCCTTGCATACATAAATGCATGCATGCATACATACCGATTCCGGCTCTGCATCAGGTTCTCTTTCCCTGTTCATACTACATCCCCGCCTATCTATCCATCCACCCTATCTAGCTATCCTATCAAACTCACCCCGCCACCGCACAGCATAACATGCATATACCTCACCGATCTGACCCCGATTATCTATCCAATAATTCAATTGAATCGGCCCTTCATCATCTCTCAATTCATCCCCCTTTCCACAATGTATGTAGATGCGGTGTGATGATTCTGTCCACCGTATTCATCTTCTTACATAGTTCCTCACACACTGTTCAGTCCCGGTTCCTTGGCCTTTTGCTGTGCTTGCTAGGGATTGGGTTACAGTGCTTTAGACTTCAATCAATCAGATAACCTACCAATCGAATGAAACACACACACACACACACAACCAAATTCGTTCACATACTATGCGTGTATTACCAGTCGAGTGAAAGTCATGACTATGGGAGATGGAAACTACTGTTCTACCATTCCCAACGGCTCTTGTAAAGCTTCCTTCTGTGTACTGCTCAAATCGTCAGTTGAGTATAGGCACTAGTTTGATAAGACTTTTTTTTCGTATTGGCATTCTCTATCATAAATCAAGCAACATAGGTACGTAGATGAGACATATCAACTAACTCCAATCAGGAAGTAAGTAGCAAATGACATGAGGGGGTTCGTATATCACATCGTTCGTCTTTTCTCATCATCATCACTTCAACTCCAAGAAACCAAGAACCAGATAGACCATTAGCAGCACGAAATTCGCCAACGGCAATCACGACAATAGTGTGCTTAAATCCTAAGGGGTACAACGACAATATTAGTGGATTAATATGCGAATTCCATCAATAGAATGGCAGTGCTGTCAGTTCTGGCTGGAGTCTTGGAGGAAGGCGTAATGCATAACAATCTAATTGGCCATGGCGTTACCAATGAAGGAGCCCAATTCCTTGGCCTTGGGTCCCAGAGTCATGGTGAAATGGTTCGCACCCTCAATCACGGTGATTCCACCAACATTCTGTGGCCCAACGAGCGTGTCCCATTTGTTGGGTCCCATATCGGTCCGGTTCTTGAGGAGCCAGACCATTTCTCTCGTGTCCGGCTTGCCGTCCGGGTCCGGCTCGGGCCACGGGTCATCCGGCTTGCTGCAGATACCGTCCTTGGCCCAGACCATGAACGTCTTGGGCATCTTCTTGGCCCACTTCGGATCGTCAAAGGGGAGGGGAACGGCCCTGTAGGTATCGAGGGAATCAATGAAGGCTAGGAAGTGAGGGAGCAACCAGGCTGGGGGAGCCTTGTTGCCTTCGCCAAAGAGACCCATTGAGTTGATGAAGCCGTAAAGCCGGGTGGGCAACTTCTCCAAGCCGATTGGGAAGGGTGAGTCAAGAAGGAGCAATCGATCAACCTGTTCGTTCTCTTCGAGAATCAAGTAGCGAGCAGCATCATAGGCGCAAATACCACCTGCAGACCATCCACCAAAGTTGTACGGGCCCTTGGGCTGTCTGCGGCGGATCTCGGCCAGGTAAGGGAATGTCATCTCAGCAAGGGGATACTTGAGCTTCTCTGGAGTCTTCATATACGGGCAGTTCAACCCGTAGACACACACGTCTGGAGACACTCCGGGAATGGTTGCGTACGATGTTGCGGAGCCAGAACCATCAGGGAACAGGAACAGGGTCTTGGTGGCGGTTTTCGGGTTTCCTTGCAACAGAATGGAGGTTGATCGAGGGTGCGGGCTCGCCCGGGTCATGATGGTAGAGTTTGCATTGGGGACAGGTTCCTTCAATATGGGCGCGGACACGGGTGCGGGAACGGGTGCAGGCGCAGGTGCAGGTGCAGGCTTGGGTTTGAGGCCCAATGCATCCTCCACGTCATTCAGAGTTTGGTTCTCGATGAAGAACTCACCCGGCAGATCCAGATCCAATGTCTCACGGATCCTACCAAGCACAGTAAGCGAAAGCAGAGAGTCCATCCCCATCTCTCCCAAGTTCTCATCGTCCTTCAGCTCCTCCTCAGAAACACCAATCTCGTCGGCCAAGATGGCGCGAATCTCCTTTATCGTAGCATGCTGCTCAACCTGCGTAACCTTCTCATTTGGTGGTGAGCTGACAGGGGACCCAGCACTGGACTCGTCTGTCGAAGAGCCACCATTGAAGGAGCTACTGGACTCTGGGTCACTGGTGGACCCATCACTGACTTCTCCCTGGCTCATTGGTGCCAGGAACTGCTTGAAGTCTTTCACGGTCGGCTGGTCGATGAAGACGGAGGATTCGAGGTCGATATCCAGCTCTTCACGATACCTGCCCGTGACCGTCAGGGAAAGAAGAGAGTCCACACCGTAGTCGGCGAACACCAGATCATCTGTAATCTCGGATTCGGAGAGTCCCACTTCCTCCGCGAGGATGGTAAGTGCCCGCTTGGCCAGGCTTGGGGCACTGGGCTTAGCAGCAGGCTTCGCCGGAGCCGGGGCACTAGCACGACTCTTGCTAGGAGCAGCAGGGGCCGCCTTCTGAGCGCTGGCGGCGGGTCTGGCGGGGGCCTTCGAAGCCCCAACGGGTGGTAGGACCGTATCGAGGATCTTGCGCGATAAGCCTTGGAACTGTGACAGCAGTGTTTAGCACTTTGAACCTTCTGAAACTGAGTGCGGGCCGAGCTCACCTTGACTGCACCATACACCGCAACGATATCCTCCCCATCGAAGACGTAGACATCACCAGCCCAGATGGAGTCTTTCCAAGGCTGCATTCTAACATAAGTTCTGTAGGTGACATCAGGCGAGAACTTCTTCAAACAACGCATTGAGTCCCATCCGTGATTGACAAAGACCTGGTTCTTGGAGTCTGTTGCATCGCTTGCGTTCATGATGAATCCGGACAGGTGTCCAAAGCTGTCAATCCAGAACGGGTTCCGGTGGAACTTGCCCTGTGACGCTTGGAACTTGACGCGTGCGGTAGCTTCGTGCTGTTCACTGTCAAGAATAACCTCGCGAATGTTCTTGAAGTTTTCGTCGTAATCAACCAGAGCGGCGAAAAGTTTGTAAACCATGCCTCTACCGAGACGGTGAGCGTCACCATCCTCCGCGATGTCATGCAGTCGGTCAATGCTCCTCTTGACAAGGTAGGAAACTCGTTTCCACTCCGCCTCAGCAGCAGCGCAATCAAATAATCGGACAGTGCAGGTTGCGTGATCAGCGGTCTTCTTCCCTTCTGCAGTGACTGAATAGATCTGAAGGGTTGTCTTCTTCTCCGCCCAATCCGCTGTCGCAGATACTCTGAAGAGCTGCTGTCCACCCTTCGCAATCAATGGCCGTGGCACTGTGACCTCACAGACATCCAGTCCAAGTCCATCGTACTCAGGCTTATACTTCTTGATGAGATACTCTGCAAGCGTCTGAGATATATCGGCATACAGTGACTATGACCTGGTTAGCGCTAATCCTAACGCGGTAGTTGGACCAGGGCTGGTAACTTACTGAGGGGCACAAAGCGGCGCCGTTGACCTTGTGGCCTTGAATGACGCGGTTAAGGTCAGGATCAGCAATGTCGTTTTCTATTACAACTGTGGCTGTTGTTCCATCACCTCGGGTCTCAATGACCTTCTGAGCCGCGGTTGTCAGGAACTCATGTTGTGGCCCTGCAGCTACTGCCGCCACTGGAGCGCCCTTACTCAAGCAGAAGTTGTTGGTATAGGGAATCCAGTAGTTCTTGAGATCCCACTTGTAGCCTGGGAGGCGAAGAACCTGGAGAGAGGAGCTAAAGTCCTGGTGATATTGCTTCCAGTTGATGTCAATACCCGCCAGGTGAAGGCTCGCAAGACTGTTTGAAAGGACCTTCCAGGTATCTTCTTCGCGGCGTAGAGATGCAACCGTTGTAACTTGCGGTCCAAGTGTTGCCTTGATCATTCCAGAGCAAATGGTATGTGAGCCAATCTCTACCCACAGAGTCTTGTCGTTGGTCAGCTTCGCATGCCTTGTAGCCTCCACGCCGCCAAGGAAGTTGACCGTCTTTCTGCAATGATCGCGCAGGTACTTGGGGCCGAGACACTCCCAGTTGGCATCAGTGATCACTTCGCCGAACAGGGCTGAGACGAAAGGTGTTGTCGGCTTGTGGAAGGTGACACCTTGAGCAATATCTTCAAAGGAATCCAAGATAGGGTCCACTTGAGAGGAATGGAATGCGTAAGGGACACGGAGCTTGGTTGACTTCAAACCCTCTGTGGAGCATCTCTGAGCCAGCTCATCAATATCAGCGACAAGACCGCTGACGACGGTCTCCGCTGGTGCGTTAATACAAGAGACTTCGTGGAGCTCATCTCTGAGGAACTGTTTAACCTCTGCCAGGGACGCCTTGATGGCCAGCATCGAATGTGTCCCAATCTTGCACTCCTTCGTCAGCAACTGAGCACGGCGGCCACACAGATAGATTGTATCGCTGGTGGATAGAACACCGGCCGTGTTAAGGGCTGCATAGTCACCGAGACTGTGTCCGATAATGAAGGCCGGCTTCACACCCAACGCAGTCCAGTAATTGACCAGAGCCATTTGCACACAAGTAGTGCCCACTTGTACCACGACTGGGCTAAGGTCTTCAACGGGTACGCTTCCATCGACGAGAGGCAGGATAGAAGGAAGACCCTGGCTTCTTGCGATGCAGTCAAAGTGCTCAATGGTAGTGCGAAACTGGAAACAACTGCGGTAGAGCTCCTTGCCCATTCCTGTGTATTGGGCACCTTGGCCGGTGAATACGAATCCAATACCAGGAGCCGTTGAGGGTACTGGGGTATATGTCTCACGGTTTAAAGCACCATGCAGCGAGTCA